CGATTCAATTCCCAGACGAGTCCAAGGCTAATTCTTGCTTCCGAAAAAATCTTTCTCAATGTTATTATTGAATTTTCATCGGTGTATACGAAACTTTTCATATCTTTTCATACCGTCACATCTTACATGTTGACGAAAAGTAATGAAAAAATAGCTGTCGTACGGCATGTATTGGTGTAAAAATATAATTGACCCATGCTATAGGTTCTCCAGGGGCATCTCGATGGTTTCGAAACTGGCCAATATGGTCAATAATCCACTTCTACAGAAACCTATTTGATGAAACATCACGAAGAAAGAGCTGTTGCACGGCACATTTTGGTTCAAACATGTAATTGTCCCCTGCTAAAGGGATCCCTCCCCCAGAGACATCCCGGTTGTGCGGAGGGCAGCCAATCTAGTCAATGATCCAATTCAAGTCTTTAAAAAGTCTTTTGATGAAAAACCGTGAAGAAAGAGCTGCCATACGGAATTCTTTGGTGTAAAAATGCAATTGTCCCCTGCTACAGGTTTCCGTGGGGCCTCTTGGTGGTTCAGTGAGCGGGAAATGTGATCAATGATCCAATTAAAGTTTATAGAAAGCCTACTGATGAAAAACCATGAGAAAGAGCTATCGTATGCCACAGTTTGGCGTAAACATGCAATTGTTACCTACTGCAGCTTTCCCGGAGGGCATTTCGGTGGTTCCGAGGCGGTCAATGTAATTAATGATCCAATTCAACTTTATAGAAAGCCTACTGATGCAAAACCATGGAGAACGAGCTGTCACACGGCATGTTTTGGTATAAAAACGAAATTGTCCCCTACTTATGGTTTCCTGGGGGCATTCCGGTTGTTCCGATAGTGGTCAATGCGATCAATGATCCATTTAAAGCCTATAGAAAGCCTACTGATGCAAAACCATGAAGAAAGAGGTGTCGTACGGCATGTTTTGGTGTAATAATGGAATTGTCTCCTACTACAGGTTCCATCGGGGTTACTCCGGTGTTTCCGGAAGTGGCCAATGTGGTCAATGATCAATTCAAAGTCTATGGAAAGCCTACTGATGCAAAACCATGAAGAAATAGCGGGCGCACAGCATGTTTAGGTGTAAAAATGCAATTTTTCCCTACTACAGGTTCCCTCGGGGGTACTCCAGTGATTCCGGAAGTGGTCAATGTAGTCAATGATCAATTTAAAGTCCATATAAAGCCTACGGATGAAAAAACACGAAGAAAGAGGTGTTGTACGGCATGTTTTGGTGTAATAATGCAATTTTCCTCTACTACAGGTTCCCCCGGGGGTACTTCGGTGGTTCCGGAAGTGGCCAATGTGGTCAATGATCCATTCAAAGTCTATAGAAAGCCTATTGGTAAAAAACTCTGAAGAAAGAAGTGTCGCACGGCATGTTTTGAGTGAATGAAAGAACTGACCGCACTCAGAACCCTCCCTCAGGACCGATTCCAGGGAAATGGCCATATCTTGGTTGATTCTGAGCCGATTTTAGCTCTTGGTGCGTCATTTGCTTTGGAAATGATTCTATTTTTGGCGTATGAACAAAAAACACAAATTAGTAACGGACACTCTGAGAAAAACTCATCACAAATTTAGCAATTTAGACATGCCCTCAGGAAACCCGGAATATCTCCGGTATCCGGTAACCATGGTCACTTCCATTGCCCCATCATAAAATTTGATTAGTTTTCTAGTCGAATGTTTCTTGAAGATTGAAAATCGAACAATATTTAACGAAGTTACAACAGTCCAAAGTTGGACAAAATTTTGCTAGTACCCTATATTAATTTCTCACAACCCCTGTAAGTGTCCGGATTTCAAATCATAGAAATATTACTGTACTAATCACCCCAGTTACCCACTCTCTTCACACCAGTATCAGCCAATCAACCGGCCATTTATCTTAATGAGTTAGACCTGAACTGGGGGGTTGACATTGAATTATATTGATAATACATCACATTTATTGATAAGTGATTCAGTTGGCTGCTGCTGTCAGTACGCACCATCAGCCTGGTGTTACCTAGGTCGGGCGATTTTCAAGTACAACGGAGGCAATGTTCTACTATATATAATTAGCGAAGCAGAAGAAGCTTACAATCGCAGCAAGCAGGAACAATTTAAACGACATGATAAGAACCGTCTACACGACCAATGAGAATAGCTCAGCTTGCGAGTCACTTCTACTCAGTTGCATGAGAAATTTCTATCAGCTGATGTTACTCAGCGCTTAGTAACCTCAGTTTTTAGAAATGGAATATTATTATTACTGATGGCTTTCAAATTTATTTACCTTTCCGTGCGTACCGTAAGATTTGATAAAGAGAAACAAATCGTTGAGATATTGTCAAAAGTCTAACACTGCTTCTTGACGCCAAACTCGGCCTACGGATTCTAAACTCCGCCTAACGCATTGAAACACAATTGAAACGACAATGAATTCACTTCGGCCTATCGGATGAAGATAAAAATTGATTCGGTCGGAGCGCTTCTTTTGTTTTTGGGAGTTATGGGTGCAAACGTTCATATGACGCGTTCTCATTGACTTCGTACGGTAGCTTATTAACTAAAGTATCGTACCAAACGCATAATTGACTTGTTAACTCTGAAATCATAGATTTATTTAATGTTTTCTGCTCGATAGGCCCAAAATGGGCGATTAGGCCGAAGTAGTTCTCTACCCTATGGCGAAATTCACTTTTATTTAAAAGCTCATTAGAATAAATTACTCTCTGTATGTCACATTGCGGTAATAAGGCTGTCCACGAGGCAGTTGCGATCAGCTGACTTTTTTGTTTACCAAGAACTTTTGACAGATCACAGTAGTAGTGGCAGTTTATTCTCATATGAATTTCTGCTTTGTTTATGTTTACATTCAGCACCATTAACACTAGATCACTCACACACTCTAGATTTCTAGCTGTCAGTTCCACTGGGAAACGTCTCTTGGATCACCTTATCCAACTCATTGATATGCAGGGATGCCAGATTCAAACACATTACATATGAATTTCTTTTGAAGACTTTTGAAGACATCTGTCAATATTTGAAAATTGAAGAAAATTTGGATGCACACAGCTTATGTTACAAGATAAAATCTTAACGTTTGACTTCTTGACGAGGTTTCAAAATAGTCGTCGGAAAATTTAATTATTGCTCAGTTCTAAATCCGGAGTGATGTGAGATTTGAGCGAAATTTCTTTTGTAAACAAAGACGTCAATTGCCTATTTCTCTTAAATTAAAGCTCAATCTCATAAACAAACTACACCAAATGATAGAGGAATCATTCCTCTACCTCATTGCGTTATTAGTTTTCGAGATTGAGCTTTTATTCGAGAGAAATTAGTGATTGACGTGTTTGTTTACAATGTAATTACGCCCAAATCTCAAATCATTCCGGAAATAGGAAAGTGCCTCCATGCTGTCAGTAGCTGTGAGATGTTTTTAAATAGTGATCGCAGAAAATTTTCAAAATCTGACATCTGAATTTTCGTTTTAGAATTCACACCATGCACTTAAAATGGTTATCATTTCCAATAAACCTGCTTGATTTAAAGATTGCGACAGCATATTCAAAAGTACCAAAAGAGAACACATGTTTGAACAATAACAACTCTTGAATGTTCCATAAATAATAAAGGAGTTTCCAATTAAATATTTATAAACAAATAAATAGAAAAAGTGATAACGGTTTTACCAACGACAACATATTTTCTAAAGAAACTTTTTAATTTTCAATTGCTACTCTCCACTGTCTATTGTTCATTGTCAATAGTTTAGCACCAAGCACGTTTATTGATAATTACACATTAAACTATGGGAGATTTCCCTTATTTTAGTGATCGTTTTTTAGGCTGTCATTTTTTTCAAACCTGAATTCATTTTTTTTTTCAAGGTCCTAAATCTTGAAAAAAAATTAGGCTTGCTTAGAAACTGACCAACCCACATTATTACAACCCTTTCGAGCCGAACCCACTCAATTGTGTTACCTAGTGATGTTTCCAGAACAGTTTTTATGTATTTAATGTGGTTTGCATTTTGAGATTTCAAAATGACTAATGGAAGGCATCAGATTCCTTGTAAATAAAGTCATCAATATAATTTACCATCGTAATAATGCTTGAAACAAAATCCTATGAACTTTTCCCCCGTCACAAAAGGGATAATCGATTAATTATTTAGCTAAAAATATCTCCTATCAACCAATTCGTCAAAAGCCACTGCTAAATGTCGTAAAGAGACCGTAAAATTCATTTATAACCTGTTAACATGATTCTGTAATTCAATCAACATAACGTAACTCAGTTCTAATCAAACAACCGAGTTTCACAAACGTGCTAAAAAATCACACGTTTGACCTCTAAACATCTACCATCAACGCATTAATATTCAAACACGTTTTAAAGACAGCAGTTAAAACCGGGGATTCACCTCCAACACCGGGGTTTTTTTCTCTTTCCACATTTCTATCATTACCTACTTACAAGGGGTGGGACAACTTGGCACAAGACATCAAAATATGTTTTGATTTTTGCCTTTACTTAAGGATAGACTCAAAATCCAAACGTACAACATTGCTCAGCACAAAAAGTTTACATGTATTATTGTTTGAACATACTTTTATGTTGAGTTGTTTTGCCCCTTGCCTACTGATCTATTTTGTTTTGATTCTCATAGGGGAGGACATTCCATAATGCATCCCTGGGCTAAAATGGCCCGGTGCGATTTTTCGTTGCTTTACCACTACTAATTAAATTCAATACTTGATAATGGGAAAGCCACGAAAAACGGCACGGGTCCATTTTACCCCAGCAGTGCGTTTTGGACCATCCTACCCTACACGATCGTGCTGCGCTCACGAACCACGCAAGGTCACCTCAACTTTCCATCAGAACTCGCAGCTGATGGTTCTTTCTTCGTTGGCAAAACAGAATTCTACGCATTTCGTTTCCCTTTGTTTGTCCTCCCAAATATTATCGCGCGTTGGATGAATGTAGGTACTTACAATCGATTTCCCATGGTCGCCGTCTCCGCCGTCCAGTTCTTTGAGAATGTCGTGCGCGGCCGTCAGCATTACCACGTAGCCATAGTTATTGCACAAGCCCAGGATCCAGTAGGCCACGAGATCCCGCCACAGACCCCGATCGCGCGGCCTTCGGTCGTCGTTCAACGAGCGCTCGTCTTCGTCAACCGTCGTCGTCATAGTGCCAGCGCTATCGTCCATCGTCATCGCTTGCTTTGTTTTCAAAAAAACAATATTTCGTCGATCGATCGCCTTTCACACGATCGGAAATCGGAACACTGCCACGTTAACTATCCCAAACTGTTGTAGACAATGTAAAGACACACTTCCAATCAAAACGATAATATTGACATTTTATTCACGGAACCGATTCGCGGGAGGGTTGGTGAGTCAAGTCTTCCAACAACACACGTTGATCGCGACCGCCGACGACCTACTCGTTCAACCGTTTCGACTAGACTAGGAGGCTGATCGACGAAAGAATGGCCGAATGGCTCCTATCGCTCGTCACGGCTTTGTTGTTGAATGGCTCTCTTTACTTTGTCGGTACGGGTACATCGCCTGCTGCTAGCGCGGAGAGCCGGGTGTGCTGCACTGCGTGAAGTAATCAGTCGTTCTCGGCCTTATGATTGTGCCATATCATTATCAGACAGCTTGTCAGACACCGGGCACCGCAGGTAGCTATGTATATATTTCTTAAGCACCCGCTGCTGGTTAAAAATAATGAATGAATGGAAAAGTGCAGTGTTGATCGGATAGTTAGGAAATATGTGCGTTTTACTATACCGAATTGACACTTTCGACCTTGGGACCAAAAGTAATTGGCTTTCATATCAAATGGAACGTAAGTTTTAAAGTAGGCAACATTAGAAAAAGGTCACACCAATCTAATATGTATATCATAACAAATAAGTTTGATAAGTTGCTGTAGTAGCAGGAGCACTTAGGTTAAAACATGAATGTTAATTTGTTTTGAATTTGTAACAATTAAGATTTGAAAAAAAACTCTTTTTTAGAAAAAAAAAAAAAAAGTATGTGAATAACTCCGTGAAAGGAAATTAGGCTCCTTTTAACAAATCGTACAAATTCTAAAACTTCGATGCAGTGAAAAACTAAGTTATGTTTTTATTCAATTAAACTTTAACACTAAATTAAAAGAAATAATACACGTCAATATTTCGACCAGCACTGTTGCAGCTGCTGTTATTATCATGGGCTTCTAGCGTTTCTCGTATCCGATTGCAGTTCTTCCTCTCATACCTACTCAATATTTTGTTTGAGGAATTCCTACCTGAGCAACAATGGCTCGGGGCTTCGACTTTAGGTAGCCCAGTTCGTACCAGGTGACAACGATGGCAAAATAAGACTCCAGTTCAGGACCGAGCTTGATTTTCGGTTTGATAGTTTTATGACTTTGGACTTGGGTGTTGTCCATCCGACAATATGATACAGTTTATGGGCTAAATTGTAATCGTATTATAAAATGTATGGTCGACAATACGACATTACGGGATTTGATGCAGTGTAAAAGATGCGCTCAGTAATGACGCAAGCCGCACGGCTGCTCTACTAGGTTTCCTCAAAGAGGCAGAACTCTTCCACCTAGTTTGACAACTACCACTTCGGTGCTCACTGCCGGCAGTGCAAGCATAGAGGTAACTCTAAGACCAGAAGGTCCCGAAGATACGTGCTCAACTTTTTGGCTGGTACCATCTTCGGTCCCAAGCTAATCGATGCACCCCTCGAAACATTAGAAAATCCATGAACCCCTCATTTTGTCTGTCAAACTTTCATAGCAAATCAAAACAAACATAGTGTAGTACTAGAATTTCGACTAGAATCGGATACGTTAATCGTTTGCTTGGGACCAATAGGCTAGTCAAGTAGTGAGCCAATTTAAAATCGTTAGATTCGAATTGATTGTTGGTGGAACCCTCACTGAAGCCTGCTATCGGTAGCAACCTCCTCTTGATCATGGAACGACCACCCGCACCATCACCCCGATAACCGACCCATGCGCACCAAAACCCGGACTACTGACCCCAACAGACCTACGACACAACCAGAACACACCCGCAAAGGACCATTGACCCTTCCTGACAGCAAACTAGACAGCATACAACCAACAATCAATTCGAAACTAACGATTTTAAATTGGCTCACGACTAGGCTAGCCTATTGGTCCCAAGCAAATCGATTAACGTATCCCATTCTAGTCAAAATTCTAGTACTACACTATGTTTGTTTTGATTCGCTATGAAAGTTTGACAGATAAAATGAGGGGTTCGTGGATTTTCCAATGTTACGAGGGGTGCATCGATTAGATTGGGACCGAAGATAGTACCAGAGCTGAGCCAAAAAGTTGAGCTCGTTTCTTCGGGACCTTCTGGTCCGATTCTGGTCTTAGAGTTACCTCCATGATAGGGTAGAGAACTACCAACAATCAATACGAAACTAACGATTTTAAATTGGCTCACCACTTTAGTAGCCTATTGGTCCCAAGCAAACGATTAACGTACCCTATTCTAGTTGAAATTCTATTACTACACTATGTTTGTTTTGATTCGCTATGAAAGTTTGACAGATAACATCAGGGGTGTGTGGATTCATGCAGAACATGCAGGGGTGAGTGAAATAGCTTGGGACTGCTTGGGACCGTTGTTCTGGTACTGAGTGAACCAAAAATAATAATGATTTTCTTCGGGACCCAGTGGTCTTAGAGTTACCTCTATGGTTGCACCATGTGCTCAAAAAGTGAATAAAACCCGTTTGATATGTTGTTTATTTTCTAACTTTGTATATTAAATGTCACATCCAATTACTCATTTGGAAAAACAGTTGTTTTACAAGAACTGAGTATCCTTAACTCTGATTTGCTTATTTCCCAAGAACCAGAACTTAGTAGAAGATACTCTAAATTTGACAAATGCATTCCCCAAGTAACCAAAAGTTCCGCATTCAACACTTCCAAGTTCCATAAAGTTCAAATAAAGTTCCGACAGAACTTTCAAGTTCCATAAAGTTCAACTAAAGTTCCGACAGAACTTTCAAGCCACATGAAGCAATCCGCACAAATCTTTTTTTGTAACAAAATTTAATGTACGTAAATATGAAATAATCTGTGGCCCGAATAAATCATAATTCTTATATTTATGCAACATTCTCTTCAAAAATTAAAAAGTAAATTAAAAATTATTTCCTGCATTCGAGCCCGTGTATTCGGCATGTGATCTACGATTGCTAACCACTGCGCCACAAGACCATGCGGGCAAACACCAATTTAAATTCATCAAGGTGTTGTGTTTCGTATTCAAGTCAGTCAGCTGGCTCAGAAAACTTCAACAATAGGCGGGACAACAGCTCACTTTAATATATTTCAGATGACGTAGTGGTTCGTGCTGAGACTCTCACGCAGAAGGACTGGGTTAAATTCTTCAAACAGCTCAATTACTACTACTAATGCTTAATCAATACACATTAATACCTGCCTTTAGAAATAGCTTTCATAAAAGTGCGAACTAAATATAGAATTGGTGTAGAGGACAAAAACTTTAATTTAATTTATTTTCTAAAAGTTCCGTTCAAGTTCCGCCAGAGGCTACTTAGAATGCTCTTCAATTATGGTACCGGAACTTTCAAGTTCTTATAACGACTTAAAAATGAGGCTGCTTAGAATTGTGGAACGATACAACAGTTACCACTTCAACCCACCTCTACTCGTCTCTATATATATTGGCCCACTCGGGGTACGAGAGAGAAGGCAACGAACATCATTATCATTCCAAAAGTAACTGCTACCGCGTTCGGTTGCATTGTATTTTGCGCTCGATCAATAAATGTAGTTAAAGTGATTTCTCGCGAGTTCCATTATTTCCACAACAGGTCCGAATCCGTCCGCTGATATTCCACTTCGTTGCCCTGACTCTACCGTCGGTTTCGTCAGGTTATGGACCCAGCGGGATCGGACAGAAATCTGGTGAAAAGTTTTTGACCCGGAGTGACGCCATTTTTTTTGTGCTGCTGCCGCCGCGTGCGAAGTGTGGAGATAGTGATCGCGAAAGACCCGAGCGAGATCCATTTTTTTTTTCAACCTCGTGTGAGTGAAAATCTATTTTGACGATGGCGGACGCTAGATTCTCGATTCCGAAGCTTAACGGAACAAATTGGGCTTCATGGAAAATACGAGTCGAAAGTTTGCTTTGCCGGGAAGATTTGTGGAGTGTTGTTGAGGATGCTCCCCCGGGTGAAGCCGATCGTACCGCTGCGTGGAAGACGGGCGATCGGAAAGCAAAGGCGACAGCCAGCTGCCGGTTGTGAAAAATTGTGTGCTAGCGTACGATGTGTATACGGCGCTGAAAAATTATCATCAAAAATCGTCCCGTTCAGTGCGCGTTTCGATTCTGAAGAAGCTTTGTGCGTCAAACTTGTCGGAAGGAGGTGACGCCGAACGCGTTGCCAGGTCATTTTCATAAAAATCTGTACCAGTTAAAATATAAAATCTGGAAAAATCTGGAAGGTTTCAAAAAATCCTATTTTTAACATAATGCTATTGAAATCAAAGTGATATGCCGATCTCCCATAAAAATCGGTCAGTATGATCATCTGGAATTTATTCAAAGCACTAGAATGTTTATCAATTACATGTTTAAATAAATTATATAAAATAAATAACTTGTTAGCATTGCATAAATCGTCCAAAAGTTAAGAAATGTATTGACACAGTGTGCCCAAAAAGTTTGAATATCTATTTCGCAGCATTTCAAAAATTGAGTTAAATCGTCCCAGATCATGAAACTTTTTATTTGTCTCGATTTTCAGAGTTCCATTTGAATCATCTTAGAATTCCATCATACTTCTTTTCTGGATTCCCCTAAAATAATCTCGATAAAGAGTTCTCTTGTTATCTCTTATAAATCACTCTTTGATTCCACAACTCCCTCAAACTAGCAATAATTTCCAATAATTGGCATAATTTTCTTTTCATCTTTCTCTATGAAATACCATTAGAATATTCTTAATAATTTCTTTGGCACACTCTTCAGAATGACCGTCACACCATTCTCAGACTCATCCGATAATTCCATTTGAGCTGCTTTGTAGGTACGGTTAGAATAGTTTTTGAAATCCTTTTCAGTATTTGCTAAGTACTCTTTATACTTTGCCAAAATGGCATTGAAAGTCTCCCAGAAATTGTCAGATGTTCTTTTGGCATAATTCCGATTAAATTTCTTAAAATTTTATAGAAATGAAACTCCATAGAAAAATAGAACAGAATTCCATTGAAATTATTCTCACGATTCGTATTAGCATACTCCTTAAGTTTCGTCATAAGAAATTTCTTTGATTTCTCTTCCAAATTCTATTTCCATTCTTCACAAAATCTCCATGCAATTGTCATCAAAACTTTTTTAATGACAACGGACACTGTCT